CTGGTATTTCTGAAACATTTTTGAACTCTGAATCCTTTTTTAATGAATTTCTATTATAATTGTATAGAGAAAGTGTTTTGCAGAAAACTCTTTAGGAAATGAGGCTGTAAGAGGAGTATTTCTTCACCAGGAGGGAGATATACCTCCACTACCCCAATCCCATTTTGGATTGCAAAAAAAGTAAAATAACTGTAGAGACGGAGCTGCTAAATATCTTTCAGTGATCATAATAGTCCCACACGTTGAAGAACTACTTAAGTTCAAAATGCCAATAGGGCCCCATGGAGAAGCACTGCAGGATAGAAGAATATTTAACGACATGGGGAAATGTTCACTAAGTATTAAGAGAAGCTTTGTACGATATTTATAGCATGATCCTATTTTTATAAATATTAAATAAGTGAAGTTTATGTATATGCATAGGAAAAAAGACTAGAAAGTTAATAGTGATTATTACTGGGTGACAGGATTGAGAGGTTTCTTTTATTCCTTCTTTTTGCAAATTTCTGTCTATTTTTTTCTGATAAATATGTACTAATCTTGAAATAAAAAATGAAACTATTTTTTGAAAAACAAAGATACATTTGTGCGATTATAATTAAGAAGATCTTCACATTCTGTATTATACAGTAACATTTTAAAATCTGTACTGTTGGGGGGTTTTCCACAATGATCCTGTATTGCTTTTGAAATCAGAACAAATAATAGCACTTTTAAAAAATAAACAAGTAAGAGTGATAAAACCCTGTTGTAGAAAAAACGGAAAAAACAAAAAAGAAAAAAAAAAAAAAAAAAAAAAAAAAAAAAAAAAAATCACCCACATTCCTGCCACCCAAAGACAATCACTCTTAATATTTTGGTATATGAGGTTTTTTCTAAACTTACCACCAATTTTATAGTCTGCTTTTTAAAATATAATACTTGTCAAATGGTTCTGTAACATTTTCTATGTTCTATTCCTTTCATTTTGCAATCGTATCCCACTCAGAAAACTCCTACTTGGCATTTAACTTTCCACATGGATATGTTTTCTTTCCTCTTTTTTTTTTTTTTTGGAGGCTGGTCAGTGCAGGGATCGAACCCTGGATCTTGGTGTTATCAGCACCACGCTGTAACCAGCTGAGCTAACCGGCCCACATGAGTATGTTTTGTTTCCCCAAAGAGGTTAGAAGGTTGGCTGGAAGGGACCCCTGACTGTCTCCACAGTGCCAAGCACAGAGTGAACCTTTACTGCATATTGCCAGACCCAATCATATCATTGCAGTCCCCTGTAGACTACCTACTCTTCATGCTCTGGCTGGTCTGGCCATGTCTGGAGCACACGTTTGGTTCTAAGCACGTTGGCAAATGAAGGGACAGGATGGGGAGAGGTCTTGTGAGATGAAGCTGAAAGACTAGATACTGAAATACTAATAGAGGAGACCATATGGTATATGGGACTAGTCTCTAGAATGGGAAGTGTAGACATCTGGATAAAGATGGCAGCTTGAACACATGCATTTTCTTTGCTGCATCCCCAAACTCTACTAAGTGATCCGTAAAAAGTATTTCTTTTTTGTCCTTTTTGAGACCGCTGCACCGCGCTCAGCCGGTGAGCGCACCGGTCATCCCTATATAGGATCCGAACCCGCGGCGGGAGCGCTGCTGCACTCCCAGTGCCGCATTCTCCCGAGTGCGCCGCGGGCTCGGCCCTAAAAAGTATTTCTTTAAAGGCCTGCAAGGACAGCAGGTGTGGGAGGGAAGATAATTAACTGGAAAGCAGAAAGCCAGGCTCGATCACTTACTCTCACCCGTAGTCTCTGAGACTGGTATTGTGGCCTGAAAAATGGACATCATTGTCTCAACTATTTTGTATTATATTTATCTTATCATACAAGTAATTACTTACATGCTCATTGTAGAAAGTTGACAAAATACAAATAGGAAAATAAAAAATCATTCATTATCGGGAGACAAGCACTCATATATACATATAATTATTGTGTATATATATAAATTACATATAAATCATATATATACATCTAGACTTTTTTCTATGTATCACTACCCATAAAATACTTATTTATTTTAATAAAATGGAATTATACTCTGTATACTATTTGGTAGCCTTTTCACATACGTATATTTATTTATTTCAAAGTAAGGCATGTTTAGTGTAAAAAGTTTAGAAAATCTGGCCGGCCCGGTGGCGCACTGCTACAGTGCACCACTTGGGAGCGCGGCGGCGCTCCCGTCGAGGGTTCGGATCCCACATACAGACCGGTTCCCGCTCACTGGCTGAGCGAGGTGCGGGTGCAACACTGAGGGTTAAAAACGATCCCGTTGCCGGTCCCGGTCCGGTACGGGCGCAACACTGAGGGTTGCGATCCGTTGCCGGACACACACACAAAAAAAAGACAAAAAGGGAAAAAAAAAAAAGTTTAGAAAATCAAACACAAAAAGAAAATAATAGAAATAACCACTGTTAGCATTTTGATGTATATCTTTCTGGTCTTTTAAGAAAATGTATATATACATGTATATTTTCTTAATAAAATTGGAAGCGCACTATACGTACTATTTCGTAATCAGCATTTTGCATTTAACAACATCTTGAATGTTTTCCTGGGATGCTGAATTGTTTCACAGCCATGAAGGTCTGAAAGGAAGCTGTCCCCAGGGCTGAGCAGAGGGTGGGGACATATCTCCCCATCCTGCTGAGAGAAGCAAGTTGGCAGGGGTCCTATTTCAGCTCACTTGATGAACTTCCTTTTTTTTTCATTTTCCTAATGATAATTCATTGTCATTATTTATTATACAAACACGATAACCACTTAGTGAAATTTAAAATAAAAAGGAGAAATATTTGAACACAGTGTACCACCTCTGACAAATGAAGCAGCTTTTCTCTTTTTTTCTCTTCCCTCCCAGTCCTGGTCTACCTACCTACATACATAATTTTTCTATTCCTGTAGGCAGCATGTACAAACTATTACATCTCCTTTTTATTTATCTTGCTGTTCTAAGCATTTTTTCATGTTCCTGAATAGTTTTCATAACAATCATTTGTAATAACTGCATAATATTTTTGATTTGTTCTAAAAAGAAAAGCAATGAGGCAAAGCCAGAAAGTGGTGGGTCTCTGGGATGGAGGCTCACGTCTTCCCTCCCCTCTCCCGCTGGAGGAATTCCAGCTGCCTGCTCAGGCCTGCACCTGCTTATCCTCAAGGGCATTCAGGGAGGAACCCCACAGGGGAACAACCAGGGCCCAGGATGGGAGTGGAGGGGCATGTGAAGGAGGATCTCTCTTTCCATCTCCCCCTCTGCTGCCTCACCCCTGTGTTTAAGCCAGGGTGAGGGTCTGGAGCTGGACGGCTCTGGTCCACAGGACAAGTAGGGCCCCTGAGGCTGCCTCACTTAATGTCTCCAAGACCATCCGGAGGATGAGGTAGAAGCTAGAAATCCATGCAGGAACATTGCACAATCTGGAGAACAAGATTGTCTGGGCAAGCTAGAGATCAGATGTGTAGGGTTATGAAGCACTGAGGACTTCTTGGTGCTGGGAACCTCTCTAGGGACATACATGATCTAATGTCTTCTTCCCAGCCAGCCCAGAAGATATAGATCATTTCCTCCCCATTTGACAGGTGAGGGTACCAATACTCAGGGAAGAAATCCTGCCCAGGGGCAGGGCTGGGATTACCACTCAGGTCACTGACTCCGTTTTTAGAATTATAATGTTAGATATGTTTGTATGTGTGTAGAAAAAGTCCTGGTAGGAAAGGCTCAAACTTAATAGCTGTTAAGTTTTGCCACCTTTTTACTTTTTATATTTCTTTTTCCACCTTTTTTCCTTTTTATATTCCTGTACTGTTTGACTTCACAGCATTCGGCAACAAATATTTATAGAGGTCCTCCTCCGTGCCAGGCACTATTCTATGTGCTTGGGGTAAGTCATTGAATATATCAGATTGGTTTCTCCAGAAGCAGACCCTGACACATGGATTCAAGTGCAAGTGTTTTATTTGGGAACTGATTCAGGAAATTCAGATGGAGAAACAGGGAACTTGAATATATCAGATTGGTTTCTCCAGAAGCAGACCCTGACACATGGATTCAAGTGCAAGTGGTTTATTTGGGAACTGATTCAGGAAATTCAGATGGAGAAACAGGGAACTGAGATGGGGAGGGAAGGAAGCCAGCCCAGGGTGTGTTTGTGAGCAGCTTACTGCTGTGGGCAACCAGGGCTTATATCCTCTTGGGAAACTCTGGGTGACAGTGGAGAGGACACCTCAAGTTGACCCACTTGAGGGCCGAGGAAGCTGGGGTATTTATCCACCAATTCCCATGTGTCTGATTGAGGGCTGCTCCAGGGTTAACTCCCCAGCACTTGCAGCCCGCCTGGCTGGCAGAGGCCAGGGGAACTTGCAGAAGGCCCTTGGGTCCTGGGGCACTGAGAGAGGAAGTGCCCAAGGGGAAATGGGCTCAGCACAGGCACTGTCCACCACAGTGAAGAAAACCTGCCAAACTCTGCTCTTGTGGAATTTACATGGGGGGAGGGGGTCAGACAATAAATATGATAAGTGAATTATAGAGTATGTTAGAAGGTGACACATACTATGGAATTAAAAGGAGAGTAGAGAGGGTTGGCCGGCTATGTTGTAACACGAAGGTTAAGGATTTGAATCCCCATATCAGCCAGCCACCAAAACACAAACAAAAAAAACCTAAGTGAGATGGCAAGTGAGAGTTGCAATTTGCAAACAGATTTAATTTTATAAAACTAATCAAATGAAAAACTGCATTGTATATCTTTTTTTTTTTTTTAAAGATGACCGGTAAGGGGATCTTAACCCTTGACTTGGTGT